GGCAGCTGGACTATCCGCTGCTGCTGATGAAGCAGCAGCAAGAAGACATGCTTGACTGTGAGCTCCTGCTGCTGCTGCTGCTGCTGCTGCTGCTGCTGCTGCTGCTGCTGTTGCTGCCTTCAAATATCATAGCCTTTTTGCTGCTCGGCATCGTGCCGCTGCCGCTGCTCGTGCTGCTGCTGCAGCACTGTTGGTTGCTGCTGTGAAGCTGCGGCTCTGCTGCAAGGGGAATTCTATTTCAGCTGCTGCTGTGCTGCTGTGCTGCTGCTGCTGCTGTGTTGCTGCTGCTGCTGCTGCTGCTGCAGTTGCGTTTGATGAGGCAAGTTTGCTGCCGCTGCAACTACCGGAAGTGAAGGTTCCTCCTTCTGCGAATGCGCTCGAGCAGGCTGCAACAGGTGGGCTCTCTGCTGCTGCTGCTGCTGCTGCTGCTGCTGCTGCTGTATGGCTTGCTGCTGTTGCAGCTGCTGCGTCTGTTGCTGCTGCTGCTTTCGTTGCACTGGCCGCTGCTGCTGCTGTTGCACCTGCTGCTGCTGTTGCATTTGTTGCTGCTGCTATTGCTGCATCGGTTGCTGCTGCAGTTGCTGCATTTGCTGCTGCTGCAGTTATTACATCTGCTGCTGCTGCTGCATTGTCTGCTGCTGAGCTTATCGTTGCTGCTGCGCTGGTTGATGCTTTTGCTTTTGCTGCTGCAGAGGCTGCTGCTGCACACCGGGATATCTTTCTCTGGTTCTCGAGGGGGAGCGAGCCCCTGAGGTTTCAGCTCAGCAGCCAGAGGCCCCCTGCTGCTGCTGCTGCTGCTACTGCTGCTGCTGCTGCTGCTGGGGAAAAGGCTGCAACAGCTGACGAAGGGGAGGCAGCAGCAGCTGCAGCCGATGCCGGCCAAGGTGCCGAAGACTCAGCTGCTGCTGCTGCCTCTGCTGCAGCAACTGCTGCTGCAACTGCTGCTGCACTTGCTGCTACTGCAGCAAGCGGCAGCAGCAATGGCAGCGGCTCCTCAGGGGATGCTTCAGAGACGCAGAGCCCAGAGGGAACAGTACCAGCAGCAGCAGCAGCAGCAACAGCAGCAGCAGCAGCAGCAACAGCAGCAGCAGCAGCAGCAGGGGAGGCGGACCCCTCTTCTGCTGCAGCAGTTTCTGAGGAGGACCCCGAGGAAGCAGCAGCAGCAGCAGCTGCTGCTGCTGCTGCTGTTGAAGCGCGTAAGACACGAGAGGTGTTGGAGGCGCTGCCGCTGCTGCAGACACTGGAGGGTTTGCTGCAGCGCCACATGCAGCAGCTGGAGCGGCACCGGGAGCTTCTGCCGCCACGACAGAAGCGGCAGCTGCTGCTGCTGCTGCTGCTGCACCTCACACGGGTGCGGCCGCAGCTGAGGCCCGCGCTGCTGGACCCCCAGGTCTCCGTAGAAAGCAAAGAGAAGGTGTTGTCGCTGCTGCTGGTGGAGGTGCTGCTGCTGACGGGTGAGCAGCTGCAGCAGCAGAGCTCGCAGGTCATGCAAGCAGCAGAAGAAGCAGGCAGCAGCTCCGTTGCTGCAGCAGCAGCAGAGGGAATCAAGATGGGGACGCGGCTGCTGCAGCTGCTGCACCGCCTGGGGTCCCGAGGAGCTGCTGCTCGTGGCGATACAAACGTTGCTGCAGCTCGTCACGCGTTGCTGCAGTCAGTAACGCATCTATGGGAGCAGCAGCAGCAGCAGCAGCAGCAGCAGCCGCATCACTCGCAGCAGCAGCAGCAGCAGCAGCAGCAGCAGAAGCAAGCAGCACACACGTTGCTGCAGGTGGTATCACGGCTGGAGTCTCTGCCTGCAGGTTTGCTGCTGCAGCTGCCGAAGCAACTACACAGCGTGCGTCTGCTGCAGCAGCAGCTGCTTTTTCTCTTTATACATTAAAGTTTCTGTGTCTGTCTCTAGAGCAGCGCCAGCAGTGCAGCAGCACTCGTACAGCATATACATCTGCTGCTGCTGCTGCTGCTGCTGCTGCTGTGTGTTCGTGCAGCTTCGAGACCAGCCGCACCTGCTGCAGCATTTGGGGGTGCAGCTGCTGCTGACGCAGCGGCAACCGGCGACGGAGGACGCTGCTGCTGCTGCTGCNAGCATTTGGGGGTGCAGCTGCTGCTGACGCAGCGGCAACCGGCGACGGAGGACGCTGCTGCTGCTGCTGCTGCTGCTGCTGCTGCGCCCGGTGCAGCGAAGCCTGCAGCTTCTGCTGCGGGTGGCCAGCAGACGCCGGTATCGCCCACACCGTCTCCTCAGCAGCAGCAGCAGCAGCAGCAGTCGGATGCCTCGGTTGCTGCTGGGGCTCGTGCTGCTGATTCAGCTCTGAAAGCGGGCGAGCAGCAGCAGCAGCAGCAGCAGCAGGCCAGCGGCAGCAAGAGCAGCCCTGCGGGGCCGCAGCAGAAGAAGACGTCGCGAAAGGGT